ACGTTATCAATCCACCATTACGTTTTGACCACTTTAACTATTAACCTTAAAATTTTGACTATTTTGTATCATCTGGAATGCCACGTGGCATATTTTAAAAATATAAAAAAAAAAAAGGAAAAACAAATCGGCGTCATCTCCTCCTCTTCTCCCTCATCCTGATTGCAACTTTCCCATCGTCATCTCTTCCAATTCTTCTTGAAGAAGAAGACCCAGAAGAACACCACCTCAAATCCCCTACAGCCAAAAGAACTCTTATAATAAAAAAATCACGCTAGCCTTATCAGCTTTCTCACAGTTCCTAACTCTTTTTACATTTTCTTTTCTAGTGATAAGATGAATGAAACCTATTGATAGATAAAGAAAGAGAAAAAATAAATCAGATTTCCTAAACTTGGAACAAGATTCGATTCATCAGAGCCAATAAGACAATGAGCAGGATAAAGATCTTTAAGCTTGTTGGATGGTGTGAATAATAGAAAAGCCATAATTGGTAGTTTCTTGGCCAAGAACAAAGAATTGATTTTGTTGCAAACCAAGAACAAGCAATTAAATCCAGAAAAAAAACGAACCAAGCAAGGCATTTTATGCGTTTGCACAGAATGGTTAAGGAGTAAGTAATGAACAATAGATATTTGGGATTTTCAATTCTGTGAAATTGAATCTTCAGGGGCCCGACCCTGTTTCCTTGATTCCTTTTCTTTTTGTGAAATTAAAACTAAAAAACAAAGCACAGATTCAGAGCAAGAAAATCATCCAGATAAATCCGAACTACCATTCACAGTCCAATCACACCCAGAAATCACAGGACCAAGATATTCAGAAATTTCAAGAGGTTGAGATGGGAAAAGAGAAAAAAAGAATCCAGATCCTGCACATTTGCTCGAAACCCATTATGCTCGACCCAGATCGAAGAACCTAGATTGACAAACCTAGATTGCAGAGGGAAGAGACGCGGTAAGTTTCAACCCAGATCATGCTCAGTAAGTTATACGGCAACAGTGTTCGGAATGATCCTGCTCAAGTTTTGGTGATTTTGCTGTCGTTCTCTCCATCAAACTAGTCACTAAACAAATGGAGGCTCCTAACGATCCATCATGATGAAGATCTATGCATGGGTTACAAATTTATCTAAAGCTCCTGATGATCCATCACCAACGATTGGCAGAACGGGGTAGAGGAAGAAGAAGAAAAGGATGAGGAGGAGGAGCTTCCTGGAGGGCAGAATTAGAGGAGAGAAGTGGAAAGCACAATCACACGTGGACCAACGTGGCAAGCTTACAAAGCAGATAACGGTAAGCCAACAGTCAACCCAATCAAATACTAACGGTGGGATGACATTGCCTCAAATTTAAAAACCTTGGGATGAAATTACACCAAAAAAGATAAAAAAAACTTAAAAATATTACGTGCGCCTGACTGAAAATATTGAGATCAAATTTATACTTTAGCCTTTAAAAGAGAGACAAGAAGCAAAGAGACTGTATTAAGAAATTCCATTTTCCCAATTTTTTAGTTTTATTTTAATTTGATACTTAGTTGGCCTTTTTTTATTTCTTTTTCCTATTTTTATTTTATTCACATTTAGCTCATGACTCCCTTTGAATTTTGAATTCCTTACGATGTGTTTGGATTAGTAGAGATTTGAATTTTGTCCAAATCCCTTGGATATACAAGAATTTAAGTATTCAGATTTGATTCTAAATTTATTTTTTGTTATAATTCCTTTGTAATTTTAAATTTTTTTGCATACATCCTAATCATTTGAAATTTTAATCACTTACAAACATCTTATTGTCTTTGTGTTTTCACTATAAATACTCTATGACTTTCAATCTTTTTTCATCTATCGTTCTCATCTTTCATTGATTAAAAAAAAAGATAAACTTTCTATTTTTAATTTTTCATTTTCATTTCGAGTCTCAACTTATTCATATTCTCTATTTGAAATTTTTTAAACTATCCAAATGAAGGATATGATTGTGCAAAGCAATTAAAGCAAATGGAGAGGGTTTGAATATGGTTGTGTGTGGCCAGATTCCTTTGGTTCCTAGGAGGAAGACAAAGAAAGCATGATTCCAAGGGCTAAATGTTCTAGTCTTTCTCTTGCTTTCATGCAATTTCTTTGATTTAAACGTTTGGATGGAGCCTTTGTAAAATTGTGTACATGTTATGTTGCACTCTTGATTGAGGAAACTAGTTAATTTGATTGTTGGGTGGCTGGACATAATGTTGGAATTTCGAATTAATGCCCAATAGCATGGTTTGTTTTGGGTTTTAATTGTCCAATGTATTAACAATAGCAAAGTATTGTGGAAGCATTATCACGTTAGATTTGGTTAAGTAATTATATCACAATTATGTACTTCTTAGGGGCTGGTCTATGCTAATCCAATATCAAATTGCACATTGGAGTCTTAATGAAACAAGTTTGGCTCACTCTACAATTACTAGAAGTAGTGATTGTATTGTAACTACTTTTGCTATGTTTGAGAATGTTCTTGAACTACAAATGACTAATGAGAATGATGACACAACGAATTAATTAATTAGGACAAGGATTGTTTCCCATCACACTCATAGGAATCTCTCATATTGATTGTTTAAAAACCAAATTCATTTGCACACTTGTTTTCTTATAAATTGAAAATAACATAAATACATAGTTTAGTTTATTTTTGCTTGGAAAAACATAACTTTGGATCCATGCACTTCGCTCGCATTTTACTATAAGTCCTTGCACTTTTCTTTTAGCGTTTTAGATCCATATACTTTTGTTCTTTGATGTTCTAGGTCCCTCCATGAACAAAGTGTAGGAATTTTAGAGGAACCTAGAACACCGAAGAACTAAAGTATAGAAACATATAGCAAAATACAAGTAAAGTGTAATGATTCAAAGTTATATTTTTTTCTTTTTACTTGCATTTAGATAACTATATCAAATCATTTTGTTATTTTTTTTATTACACTTCATAATCATTCATAAATCAATTACAATTCAATTCATTATGAAGAATGACCTAGCTAGCTAGGTTGCATTATAACTACATTTAGGTTGTTGCATAGTTTAATTTGAGGTATATACAACTAGTGTTCATAAAAAAAGAAAAGGGATTTTGAAGGAGGCTTTGGTCTTTCTCTGCTATGGCATTAAATTTTGGCTATTTGGGAGTGGTTCTAAGCTTTCTAACACTAGAGTAAGAGATCTAACCCCTTTTCTAGCCATTAGGCTGTGGAATTTTCATATTTGGGAATTTAAAATTCTAGGGTTCCTGTGGGTTTGGAACATGGGGGTTTTCTTATTGATGAGATTGTTGTTCTATGGCTTGGAAGGGTTAATATATACTAGTTTTAATGTTTAAATGGTGGGGATTTAATTGGGTGATTGATTTGAGAATTTGAAAGTTAGAGTTGGATGCTTTGGAGATTTAATGACTTTAGCTGTTGATTAAATTACAATCTATTGACTAGAAATGTTTATTGGAGTTGGAATATAGATTAAAACAGTTTAGAATATTTGGTTAGGATTGACATTGTGATTTTGAGAAATTTAGTGATTGATTGGACCCTGAAGCTATGATTTGGGAATTTATGAAAGATAGAGGGGTGGGGAATAATTTATTGGTTATAAAGGATTTATTGAATTCGATATTCATAGGAAATGATAGAAATTTGGTTAGTTTAATGATGTGCACGAGTAGCATTATGTCAAATAAAATTCTAAGTACCCTAAATGTGGCTAGTAGCAACCTAAATCAAATCCCTAAGTGAATTGTATTGAAATTGATCTAGAATTAATTCCTAAATATGATAAACAGTAGCAAAAGTGGTTTTGATTGATTATCTAACTAAATGCAAAATTAGACAAACTATTGTTTCTTTGGCTTCCAATTTTTAAGAGAAAACAAGCGAGTGATTGAAATTTGTTTGATTTAAATACAAATGGTAGATCCCTAGTAGAGTTGTGGAAGGCAATCCTTGTTACTAATGAATTAGTTTGCAAAGCTTATATTCTCATAGGTCTTATTTAGTTTAAGCAACTCTTAAACATAACCACAACTTAATTCCCAACCACTAGTGATTAAATTGTGAACTAGGTTCACTTCACTAGGACTACAACGTATAACCTTGACATTAAAACACTAGATACAACCTTAAACAACTCCTAATTAGCCTTCAACATCTTGATTAAAATCCAACCAGGCATGCTAAATGACCACAGGAAGTGGAAGCAATGGTATAATGAACCAAGAACTGAACAAGGCTAACAAACAATTATTAACTTCATATGAAATTTCCAAAAATTTCGATGGTTGGCTCTAGTCGTATAATCCCTAAATTAAAAAAGATTAACACTATATAATTCTCACTGAGGAATTAATTCTAACTTTTAATTGATTTTAAAACAGTAACACAGCAGCCAAGTTAATTGAAGCCTTGTCCAATCCGCTGATAGTTGTTGCAATCACCTTAAATTAATAAGCTAATCCCAATGCAGTCAGTGGCCAACCTAGGTCGATGTGACAAGGAATTACAAATCTTAAAACCTAATTAATTAAAAAACACTAATAAACAAGTGAATTTTTTTTGTTCAAGCTAACAAAATCTAGAAGAGCTAGAAACTACTATTGGTTTCATTTTAGGATTAAGGAAAACTTATTCAAACAAGACAATGTGAAAGCAAGCGTTTGATTAAATTCAATGAAGACTTACGATATATGGTCAATCGTTGTCCAAAAATATTTAGATTTCACTCCCTCTACTTAGGCTAACTAGGGCTTCAAGAGATTCCTAGAGACTAGCATCATGCTTCTCCATTCCACTTTTGATTAAGAGTGAACGAACATTAGTGAAATAAATGCTCTCAGAAATTGCCTAAATTGTTTATGAACTAGAGTTCTCCCAGCCCTAATCATCACAAATTTTGTCCAACTGGGATTTACACAGCCTAACACACCTAAGTAAAATGAATAATCATGTCTCACCTGCAAATGAGTAGATGGCAATCAAAACAAGGGATTCAATCTTAAAATCAAAATTCCAGGATATCCAATCTCCAAGGAATATTCACAAACACCTTCTACACATGATAAAACCATCAACAATACATTTAATTACACAAAATCACTCTAATCCAAATGTCATTACAAAGTAATAATAAAATGGATTTAACATAGAAGAGAAAGATGAGAAATCTCCTGATCAATCCAGACACATGAGCTTTCATCCTCATAGAGAAGAACAACCCTAGCCACACCTTAACTGATCCATCAAATCTCAATGAAAGCACACATCATGCTCGCCCATATGGAAGAATTCACTAAGAAAGTTGCACACCAAGTTCTTCAACAAATCCAAGCGAAAATCACGAGGTTACGTTGCAGATTGATGGATGAATGAAATGGTGAAATCAAATGTGAAATTGGATGAGCAGATACAGGGATTTGGAGAGTGTGTGCAAAATCTAGAGTAAAGACAGAGAAGAAATGAAGAATGAGAATAGAAGATGAGAAAAGAATTTCCAGATCTGAAATTAGTCAGTTCAGTTCGAAATTCTTGCTTCTTGTGTAAAAATGTGTGTTGAACGCCCTAGAGTGGTTTGCGTGTGTTTAAAGATATTTTTGGTGGATTAAAAGACGTGTGTGTATGGTAAAATGCAAGAACGAATTTAATTGCTGGAAAATAAAACTTAAAAAGGAAATAAAATTAATAGATCAAATGAAAACTAAAAGTACACTATTAATAAAAAGTAACGTAGATACTCTCTTTGGCTTCGCATCAACAGGAAATATTTCTCCTAAGATATTGAAAGCAATGGGTAAACTTTTTTTAACTAAATTGTTACATAAATACTCATATCTATATTAGTTTTTTTTTTTTTTAAAGTAAGGTAGAGTCCTTTTTCTAAAAATATATTTGGTATCTTCTTTACAACCAAAATTTGAACCTACAAAAATTCAACAAGTACATTCAACAACCTCAACGGTAAATAGAATATACCAGGCCTACTGGATTATTACCAAAACTATAACATTCTTAGCTAACAATCCTATAAAACTACCTAAAATCCTAACTAATTGAGGAAACCTAAAGCTATGTAAATAACCCTAGTCACACTCACTTTGCGCCGATAGTTCTTGAAGAATTTGTTGTGCCAAAGCATTTCGGATGACATCAATGTTTTCACTGGTGCAGGGGTCATTATTATCAAAAAACTGCAAATTTAAATCCATGAATAAAGTAACATTCGAAATAAATACATTGAAATAATTAAACAAGCTCGCAAAACTAATAACATTGAGATTAAATAACTATTTACCTCTTGCAATTTGGCAGTAGAGTCAAATTGAACAATTTCATGCATATAATGAATAACATAATATCCGCACTCTGTACTCCTTGCTTGTTGAGGGCACTTGAAGTAGAAACTAAATAGTAAGCATAAACAAATACATATATGAAGCGATTGTAGATGAAAAACCTTAAATTTAGACTACTCACTTTTGGGTAGATCCAAGTAGTCGAATCCTTATTTTCATTGCACTTTCCCCCCATCATATAATATATCTTCAATGCTCTATCAGTAGATATAAATGAGAAATAATATATTAAAATAACTTATCTCAAAAACTAAAAGTTTTACATAAATAGCCCTAAACCTACGTGTTTAACACGCCTTTCATCTCTTCACTTGGAGTGCTACCCAAGGAACAAAACCAATAGACAACATTATCGAAGGGGCAAGCAACACAGAGTGACCAATGAGAACTGCAACATATAAGAGTTGTAATAAGTGCAAGATAACACGAAAAATATGAGTGTAACTGCAAATATAAACATGCATATAAATTACTTGCCCTTGGATAATTGGAGCTAGATAACATGGCAACTTAGATTCTCTAATAGTATTGCTCACATATATTATCCTTTGATCTAATGTGTTGTGAGCTAATTGCAATGAATTTGGACACAAGAATCCATATAAATTGTCTTTCCCCATTGCAATGCAGAGATTGTGGAGATACCTATTATTGAAACAAGATATAAACTATTATTCCATAGAAACTAAAATGAATAAAAAATGAGACAAAAAGTAGAAAATAAAGTTACAAAATTGTTAAGTTAGCCCATGACATATCCAACTCCTTCATAAATATGAACTCCATAAGGTCTTTCTTGTCAATTTTAAAGGGATATGACTTCTCGCTACCCATGATCCCTGTAGGCATTTTCAAATCGATGGCATTTGTCATTGCCTTGAAAAACTCATGCAGTTGTGCCAAGCAAGGGAATTTCTCAACAGTTTTAGGGTCCTAATAAAACATCAAATAAAGAAAAGTCATATAAGTAATTAAGACAGAAAAAACAATGAATAATGAGGTGTCCTCTACCATTGGAAGTGTCATCTCCATGTCAATAAGTCTTTTAGGCCATAGAATGAAGGCATCTTTTGCTTGGCCAACTTCTACAATCTCATCAATAGGGAATGGTACCTTTGCATTTGCCTCAAGAACAACCACAACCATCACCCTAACCTGGTCTTCCTGAATCTCCTCGTGATGAATTGTTGACCCAAGCATGTTGTTGCTTGTTGACCCAAGCATGTATGCTCGAGCTTGGGCAACAACCTGCTTCTTTGTTTGCTCCAAGTAGAGATAACAAGGAGCTCCATCATCAAGTGTGGGACTAGGGGCATGCAATGTCAACGTCTTTGGTGGACTACAACTATCTTTGGTGCTTTGAACCGTATGAGAAACCTAGATGAAATAAATAAAATAAAGGAAACAAAAACAAAATTGAATATTAATCCAAGTAAAATTAATTGAAAACCTGAGGTGTTCGCTCAGCTCCTTGCCCAGCTACCATGTTGGCAACCATAGATTTGAACTCATCACGAAGCTCGGCCATAAGCGACTCAAGCTTTTGACAAACCTCAGCTTGGGTCTCCTCCTTAACCTTAGCTAGCAACCCATGAAACTCCTCTCTAGATATCATTTCTGGTGAGTTTCGTGAAATTGGTCCAAAGTATTGTTTAAGACCGACTCCTTTTCCTACCCCTCTAACACGACCAGGATAATCTGGCTTTCCAATTGATGCTGCCAATATGTCCATTCTTCCACTCGGAGTGAATGAACCTTGAGCTTCTTGCTCCTCAAGTGAATCCTAGAACATATAAGTAATAAATTAATCTCCAAAGACTCACAATTTTAAATTCAATTAAGTATAATTACTTACAATCATTTTAGCAACAGTAGCAACCGCTGGAGTGATATATTGCCCTTTCTTGACTCTCGCCTCCTTCCATTTTCTTTGACGAGTTGGACGAGCTAGGGGATGAACAACAACATGAGGATCTAATTTGCAGCTTCCTCCATTTCCTTCAAATCATGCTGCATGATTTTATGCTCCAACTTCCTATATCCCCCTCGAGACATATAATGTGGATATTGATTTTTAGATTGTCTTTCTTTGTTTGCATCACTTAATTTCTATGAAAATCACACAACGATCTAAGTTAGTGGTGAATTAAGTCAAAATGAACTAAGTGATCCATCAAATTTACCTGAAATTCAGGATCTTCTCGCGACTTCACAAACTCTCTCCAAGTCTCTTGATCAAGAAATTTATATTCAGAACATGGATCCTCATTCTTCTTATCTCCTCGAATGTATACCCTAGTAAGCATTGATTTGAAATCCTTCCATCGATCACGTATTTGCTGAAGCCAATACTTCTTCATCTCAAGGGTAGGAGGGATATCATAAGTGAGCTACAAAGCATAATATTTGTAAAGTAATTAGTTTAAACTGTCTAATATAACTACAACAATAGAGAAAAAAAATAATATACCAAAATATCATCCCAAATCATGTCTTTTGTAGCTTGTGGTACTAACTTCCATCTAGGGAACAAAATGCCAACTTTTGAACGAGCCAAAAGGCCTATATAACTGATGAACCTATCTCCATCTGGACCAATTGGTCTTTTATCATCATCAAACTCCACATGCAACTTCTTGTCAGTACCATGATGTAAAGTTAGCTTCTTCAACTTTGTACTACCTCTTCCCCTTTTCTTGCTAGATCTGTTGGATGTATTATTATCATCCCTACAAGAACCCTCCATGTGCTTGTTAAGAAAAAAAAATGTTATAGGTTAGTAAATAGCAATTAAGTGAAATAAAAATGAATGAATGAAAGAAAAGCAAATGAAAGAAATAAACTACTTGAAAACTATTTTCTTTAGTTATTTATCAATTGAACAATTATTTTATTCATTATCCCAAATTCCTTTGCAATGATCATCTCTAACTACATATTCATCACCAACCAAATATATTTCAGTTGATCAAAGTGGATTTGTAGTGAAAGGCAAGTTCATCAAGGTTAAAACTTGAGCTATCATCCTCCACACCAACAAATTGTCTTTTACATTGTAGTATAATGAAACATTGTTTATTTGCTAGATCAATGACATAAAACTCTTATTTCGCTTTGCTTGCTAAAATGAAGGGCTTATCTTTAAAACCAACCATATGAGATCAACTGAAATAAATCTAAATTCCTTGAACAACATTAGAATGAACTCACATTTGAATGTAGGTACTTTAAATTTAGGATAGTTTACCTCTCGTATCTTTTTAATAACTCCATAATAAGAAATGAAAGTCAACTTTAGGCTTAGGAGTGAAGAAAAAATTTTAGGAGTTCCCAATGACAAGAACTAAACCTAAGATACTTCAACATTTGAGCTCAAGACAACCTAATAACTCTAACTTCAAGTAGTTAGAGAACTTCTAGGATGAAGTAATGTGTGAACAATTTCTAATCTATGAAGAATGAACTCAAACCATACTCAAAACATGAGAGTGAAACTCAAAAGCTTTCAACCAACAAAATTTGAGAAATTCTGGACAAAATTTCAAAAATTACAATTTAGCCCAAAACTATCAACATTTGCCTCAAAATTCCAAAATCATAAATAAAGTCCCAAAGACCTAAATGATGCTAAATATGCTCAAAATAACCCTAACCAAGAGCCAAATACTAAAAATAAAGATGATATAAACAATGTAATCATAATGACTAATCATTCATTGTGTGACTAGAAACCTTTTGCTACCATATATAATAGAGAATCTCATGTTTAGCTTAACCCTTTTATATCATGGTAGACCTACCTATAGATGCTGAATTCCTTTCTACCATGATATAATGCTTTAATAAGGTGCCATGGTAGTTTAAACCTTTTCTACCATGGCACGGCATCATTGGTTCTGGAAATTAGGGGTTTTACATTTGAGAAGGATAAGACTTGCGAATAAAATGGTTCAAAGCCAAATATGACTCATTTAAGGATATGCAGCGCCGAATAACAACAAAGAGAGGTTATTAGTGCCCAAGCATAAAGAATTTTCCCCTCTGGTCCTTCTAATGTCATTTTCCCTACTATGGCTCAAATCTGCAACGTTCTATTGTTCAAATAGCTTTCAAACTAGAAAGCTGCAGCAGAGAGTAGTAGGCATAAAGAAATTTTAATTACATAGTTAGTCACAACTTTCAAGGTTCAAACATCCAAAACACGATTTTGAGGTGAAAAATATTGAGTTCTCTATTCTGCTAGGGTTGCATGCTCCAAGGGTTATAACAGTGGCTTAAAGCTAGATTTGGCCAAGGTATGCATCTAGATCATAATTCTACTAATTAAATCATGTTAGAAACAGATTCTACTGCTTGAAATTGGGAATTTTCTTATTCTTGAGGTTATAGGTTGAGTTTTTTCAATTTCCTTTGGATTGTGGCTTAGACTCTCATATTTATTTATTATTATGTGGTTTAATTAAATTTTAATCAGTGAAAATTCAAGATTGATAAGTGTTTGGCTAGGGTTCAAGTTCAAGAATGAGTTTGACGCTTGTTTTGGATAAATTGCAGATGATATTTTTTTACTTATGGTTAACTAAGGATTTAATTGATAGTATATTGGCCTAAAGGATATGATATTATATTTTCAAATTTTACCTTAATTTTGGTTAGGGTTTGGTTTGAATTTGGGATCCAATTGTTAGTCTAAGATTGATTAAGATCCTCAGCAATTTAGGGTTTAAGGATATCTAATTAAGGGGATTCTCAAGTGCTTGGGTGAATTTGAGTGAGGTAAGGTGATACATAAGAATTAGGAATAGTAGGGATAATTAGGGAAATTAGGGATATAAGGGTAGTTTGGGCATTTAATATATTCTTTATAAATAGACCTTTAGGTTGTAATGGGTTATTATGAATAGAATTAATCTCTCTCTTTCTCTCTATTCTTCTTCTGCCTCTCCTCTTTCTCCCTCTTTCTCTTCTATCTGTATCATAAGCACTTTTCTATTTACATTGTATGCTTTTGACAATGGTTTATAATATTATTTTGATAAATAACAATGTATATGGATTTCAATTTTGTCAAAAATATATATATATATATATATACATACATATATATGCATGTTTATGATGACTTATGGGCTATATAGTTGAGAAATGGATCTTATCTTATTGTATGGTATGCTTATGTTATGGAAAAGTATTGGTTATTTTGAAAAATCCAATCAAGTGAAACTATGTTTGGAAAAAGGATTTCATGATTTCCAAATGAATTTCTACCCTGTGTTAAACGTGTTATGTAAAGGGATATTGGTATATGATCGACTGTGCATTAAGAAAATATGCTTGTATCAAAAAGAATTATATACATGCATTGAATTAGAGATGCTTTTGTATTGAAAAAGTTTGTAATGGAATATGGGATAATGGGTAATTAGGATAATTAGAGTTTATTTAAGTTATTAGAATTATCCATTAAGGATATTTAAATAAGAATTTTATCTATTAATATCAGAATTTATAATTTTATTTTATCGTTATATTTATTTATGCTCAACAAAAAAGGATATTAGCATCCGATTAGTGCCTTTTTAAATTAGATTTAGGATTTAGATTAAAATTTATTATTTTATTATTCTTTTATCATTTTTAGAACTCTATAAAGTTAGGGTTTTCACTTATATTTCACTTTTAATTATTATTAAATAGAATTCCCTAGAGTTTTGACCTTCCCCCATTTTCTCTCACCCTCGTTTCTCTTTCTCTTTCTCTTCCCCATCTCCCCCTCTCCCCATACCCGTTTCACATCATTATGTCCTATATTTTTGTATCCATCATCTTTTTTAATTTTTGTTATTTTTAATATCCATTACAATATGCACTATAATAATTAAATAATAGCATGAGAATAATATAAAATAAATACATTATATTTATGGAATTCAAAATCTAATATATTATAGATAAACATCATACAATTTAAAAGAAATTAGTCACTTAAACACTCCCTAAATAAAAGAACATTGTCTTATAATTCTTTTAATTCTTGAAATTCTATTAATAAAAAAGTTCTAAAACAACAGTTCATGAAAGCCCTACTAAGATTTTCAAGTTCTTATCCAAACATCCAAGCTCCACTCTACGTATTCACCCTTATAGTTGCAATATTCAAAATGAGTTTTAAAATAATGTTAGAATATGTATTGAAATAATTACATTCAGATCCCGCAGAAGGAAGTTTATTACTGAGATCCCATGAATTTCACAAAATACTTCTAAATCCCAAATCCTGCATATTGACAACTTAACTAAAGGCATTAACAACTAGGTAACAACCAGCAAGTTGTAAATGGCTGTTGTCCAGTCATTGATGGCCTTGGGACTTGAAAGTATTTTGTGAAATTTATGAAACCTCTTGGTAATAAACTTCCTGTTGTGGGACTTGAATGTAATTTTCCCATATGTATTTACTTGATGGTTTATATATGTATAAGAAATAGGCTTTACAAGGCAAAAACACATACATACATTCACCTACAAAGTACGAACTAAACAATAGGAGCTTACTTTTTGAAATTTGCCACCAACCCTGATAATAAAATATAATTTGTGCTTCATAGTCAAATTCTTTAATCAAAGATTCTTATTGGTATGAAATATAACCAAGATGTTGTCCAGTAAAGTACCCTATAAAGAAGCTTTTCAGACTTTTCAAATGAATCCTTTAGAAAAAGCCATACATAGCATTTGCAGCCCTTGTGCAAAAATAGCTTTTCTTAGCATGGGGAAAAGATTATAGGCTGTCACTAAATTGGCTTCATTTCGGCTGCCAATTTGAGAGAAACTCTCAAATCTCCACACTCACGATACACCTCACTGATTAGCCTCATTATCATAAACTCAATGTGCTAATAAGAAAAAAAATGAACGTGTGGTCACCATTGGATTAGGGCTCGCTTACCAAATTTTTAGCTTGGACAAAAAAAAGCCAGAAAGTGGGCAACTTCGGGATCTGATTGAGAATGATAAGATAAATAGAAAGCTTATGAAGCATAAATTTGATATAATTTCTGAATACATACGGTCCTCTTTTTCTAGTCTTTCAGTTGTAGAAGTATGTGCTTGTATAAAAGAGAAAGTTCCATGAGGCTAACAAACTATTTTGAAACTTCAAAGTTGGACGAAATTGAAAAAATAAATGCACAAAAGTACGTTAGCAAATGGAAATAATCATAAAACACTGAAATTAAGAAGTACTTAATTTCGAAAAAGGAATGGAAACTACACATACTGAAGAATTCTAATAAAAAAAATTCATATGTGAAAGCAAAATAGGGGTGCATGGTGTGTAATTCAACATTTTGTAAGATCAGTAATAGGATTGATTATTACCTTCGGATTTATAATGAAAAATCAGATCTGGCGGGCATCAATCTATATATTAGGGATGTGAGCAATTTTAGGCCATCCTGCACCTCCTGCTCTTTCACAATTTTCCGCTAAAAGTGGAGCTCCACTGAAACGAAATTTATGTAAATTAGTAAAGCTATGTATTCCTTCAGGCAATGACTAAAAAAATGAATTCAAATTTCGACAATGAGAAATCGAGCAAGATTGATGTGACTGGACATGGCACATCAACTCTGGTAAAGCCTTGAAATTTTGAGACCAGCTGATTTCAAAACAATGAAGAGAATGGAGGCAATTAAGTATTGTGAGTTAAAATTTTCATCCCCACTCCATGGATCATGGTTGTCAATGCCAGCAATGATGAGTTCTTCAAGTGAAGCAGGTGAATAGGGCAAAACAGAGTTACCAGATTTGATGGTCTTCAACATAAAGACTTAAATTGTGAGTTCAATCGTTTGCAGACTTCATCTCCACCCAGTTCCCAATAACCATTTTGTTTCGCATTTCAATCACATTAAGACATATGAAAAGAATTTTCTTCAAGAGGCATTTAAGCAAACATCTTCAAGGTAGTAAGGGGATGACGATAATATGTATTATTTTTTAAAAATAGAAATATACTAAAAGCACAAATCAAGGCAATAGCAGCAACCAGAATCCAGCAGCAACAAATGAAACCCCTTCTTGAAACTCAAACCAGATGGAGCCCAGCCAGTGACGGGCTACCAGAAGGAGAGAACGAGGAAAGCACCATGAAAGACCACTAGGAGCGACAGACCACAGCCAACAACGAAACACACACAAGAACGCTCTACCTAAACCCGCAAGAACACACCACGATCGAAGGAAGAAGTAAGAACGAGGATTGAAGCTTAGAACAGAGAAGACGGCAAGAAAGTAGGAGAGACGACGGTGAATAGGAACGAAGACGACGTCGTTAAAGGAGAGCGAACCTGCAAATGAAAGACGCCGTCGTTAAAGGAAGAAAGAGGGATGCCGTCGAGCGAGAGAGGATGCTGGTCAGAGCCAAAAGGAAAAACTGAAAAAGAGGCGCGCGCAAGCAGCAGCCGGTTTCGATGGTGTGCTGGCTTCACTCCGCAGCGTTTCTTTATTATTGTAAATAAATCAAGTGTTCAAATTAAATATACATTTTTTAACAATATCAAATCAAAATTAGAGAATTCAATTTAACGTTTTAGATTTGTAATGTCTTTTTCTAGTATTGAGAAGGAAAGCCAATTTTTTGGGTCATGACCTGATGGGTCAAGGATGTCCCCGCATCCCCTTCCACGCATTTCCCTCACTTCGTCAAAACGACATCGTCTAAATTAGCAGTGGAAAAATTGGGAGAAAAAACCACCAAAGTTCTCATTTTCCCTTCAAAAAGCGGGAATCTAGTGATTTTCTTCTCTGCAGAAAAGTCAATGTTCTTACATAGCAAGAACGGAATTCCAATTAAGGAAATATTTTAATTGTAATTCGGTATGGTTTTATGTTTTTTCCTGATCATTTTTCTCCCCTAAATTAAACATAAAACTTGCTAAATGTAGTTGACATTCTCTCTCTTTCAATATTGATCATTTTCCTCACTTGTATTTATTTGAAGTACCCTCTTGATTCCCCTTCAGACGGTTTTGATGAACAAATTATTAAGGACAATCATAGCTCTGGGAAGGCGACTCTCATTTATTTATTTATTTATTTATTTATTTATTTATTTTTGGGATGATATATGGGAAGGTGACTCTAATCATTTAACAAAAGCTATTATGCCTTAACTTTGTAGAAATGATATCATGACCAAGTGCTTGGGTTATTTTTTAAATTTATGGACAATGTTTTGTTAACTCTAATATGTCACAGTGCTTTATTATTATTTTTTATCTGCTTACTCTATGTTTTAATTTTTTTTTTCACTTTTCTTGTTAGCTTTAAGTAATGGATGCTCTAGGTTTATTTTCAAATTTATTAACAATGTTTTGTTAACTCTGATATGTAAGAGTGTTTTTTATTACTTTTTATCTACTTACTCTTTATTTAAGTTGTTTTGTTTTTCATCTTTTTTTTTTGTTAGTTTTAAGTAAGGGGCAATGACAGTAAAGTACCTTTAAAATATGTAAATAACAAATAGGTGCCGTGAAATATGTTAATTGCAAATTCTCTTGAGTTTATCATGAATTTTACTTGCATACACCACAACAATGGAGTAAAACAATCAAAAAATTCTAAAAGTTGTTTTGATAATGCGACATTCCATCTTTAAGTTAAAAGCACACCAATATAAATTTTAAACTTAATGAAAGTATCTAAGAATGCATAAACATCATATCCTTTAAAAAAGGAATAAAACAATCATTTTTTCCTCAAAAAGGGAAATGTGCTGCGTCTTGTACTACATGCGCCATGACATAAGGTATAAAGCCATAAGATCATACTCTGTAACATGCCTTACGGCATGAACACCATGCGTTGTGGCACACATGCTATGTTTTGCTATCATAATAGCTATTCTGACACGAACTTTTGACATACATCATTTTTACATACGACATCTGATCGAAGTCATTCAAGCACCCACACAAAGCTTAGGAAAACAAGCTAACAAATGAATAAAGTTTAAACATGATCCAACGATCCACATTCAATTTGGAAACTCTGTTACATTACCTAGTATTTTGTTGTTTTACTTATCAAAATGAGATTTGCATGTGAGTTCTAAATGTAAATCTAAGTTGTGATATGCTATTCTATATGACTCTAGGTGATAGCCTTGCTAAGGAGCAAGGAGGCATGCATGAGGTCCAAGAAGAAGGAGTCCAAGCAAAACATATTAAGAAGAGCATGCTCAAGGATCCATTACATAGGATTGAAGGCCCAATGACTAAGGCTAAGACCAAAGTTATGAAGGAAGCTCTTAATGGATTGATTCAAGACTTTATTGAAGCCAAGCCTATACCCAATAAAGAGGCCTAAGGCACCATCTTCACCCTTTGGAGCATCTAAAAAGATTTATCATATGAAAACTTAGAGTACAAGATTAGATCTTTGACTAGTCAAGCAAGCATTGATTACTAGATTCATTTCTTTAGCTATTAGTTTTTATTTTCATTTAGGCATTTATTTCTAATATTTTTAGTGATTGCCTTAATTTTTGGGATTACAAACTTGCAATTTAATTTATTATATGTTAGATAAGATCCTAGAAGGTGTCATCATTTGGAAAACTTTCTAGATTTGATTTCTCTTGTAATTTTGATCAACTTTCCTATTTCTTTGCCTTAAATAGCACTATCCAACTCTTTACTTCTAGGGTTATGGTTTTCATTTAGTTGCTTATATATAGACCTTATATAATTGGTTTTAAGAATAAGTTGAATAGAATTTTTTCAATTATTTCATATATTGTGAGAGCTTTTCTTGTGCTTTCCAAGTGCTTGAGAAGATTAGGATTATCAAAGGATTTCTCTTCTTTTATGGGTGCCCGTAAAGCTAGGGGTCAAGAGCCACATGCCACTTGGGTTATAAATCCTAGACTATTAGAAAAAGAGTTAAGAGACAGGTTTTTCTTGGCTCAACTATCCAAATCTATCTTGTTTGTTTTCTTATTTTTGCTTCTTGTTTCTTATAGTTTTTTGCTTCTACTCTGTTCTTTATTCTTGTTTGTGTAGTACTTGACAACTATGCAATGATCTGTTAAAATTTTGAAGGTCTACTTCTAGGTACAAGTAGGGATTTCCACATCACTAGGAGTATGATTTGAATGCTTGAAGCATGTTTATGTGTTACTAGGAATTGTCTTAGAATTGTCTTATATATACTTGCTTATCTGAATGCATGCATAAAGGAAGGAGTTCACCTATAAGGGGGAAGTTGTTATTATGAAAACCCATGGTAAGCCCTATTGAGGTCGTAGCCTATAACATCATAAATTTCTAATCCTGCATTAATGATTGGTTATGGAATGAAGTAGTAATTTAATGTGAGGTTAGTATTTTAAATAGTGAAATGTTATATTGACTATTTAGGATATTATGTGAATAGATATGAGTAGAAGAATGAAGTTTCAATGTAGAGCGTGTGAGTAGAGTGAGGACTTTCCTCATTATGCCATGAGTCATGGTGAAGGATGGATGCACCGCTGCGCATGGTGCAAAAAACTTGTTTAAGTAGGATGTTTCCTGAGCATGAAAACAAAACAGAGATTAAGAGAAGAGAGATATAGCAGGGAGAAGAGGTGAGCCTCTATTAGGGCAAGCATTTTTGGGAAAAAGAATGACGTTTTTGACTTGTTACTTATTGGGTAAGTTTTGTACTGTCTTAACCTTCAATTCAACCCTATTTTATCTTAGTTTTAACTAGTGAGAAATTGACTTTGAAAGTTTTAAGGAGATGATTTCTTACCTTATAGTAATAGAAAGGTTCTCCGAAACTAAACTAGTATTTTGTGATTAATTTGAGTTGAAATGATAAAACTTTAAAGCTATAGACACAATTTAACCTAAATTAGAGAGAGTAATGGGAAGAATTTGATAATGGGTGTGTAATGGATAAAATAAATGGTAATTTGGAGTAGAGTGTGGATATGGGCACAAATCAAGGAAATAGTCATGAATTAGGTGTTAGATTGTTGAAATTGGCACTCACAATCACTAAAGTAATTGGCTTTAGGTGCCTAAATTGTATAAATTCTAGCGTGTGATGTGTGAATTATAAAAAGGAGTTTGAATAAAGTTGTTAGAACACGAGCAACCCTTTTAATGAATAGAAGAGTTGAGATAATCATATAGTTTATTATGTTTATTAACTATTATAACTGTGTAGAAGTAAATATGAAATTGTGAATTTGTTGTTTTATGAGTTTCATACATGATTTGATATTGTAAATAATTTTAACATGAAAATATATTTGGAAAATGAAATTTGAAAGGTTACTACTTTCGATTGATATATATATATATATATATGGTATAAAAGTATATGATGTAAAAATGTGAATGAGTAGTGAAACTTATGTGAAAAAGTAAGATCATAGGAGGTGGAAGTTTACCTAGGATATGTAGAGATATATGTATGTGGAGATGTGAATAAAAAATTCATATAGTTGGGCTGGCACTATAGAACATCTAATGTAACATTATACGGGTTGGTACCATGGATAATCTGGTATAGCATATATTGGGACTATTACTATAGGACATTTGGGCAGTCTAGTAACTCCTTAGTGCCTATTAGGGTACAATTTGGAACCAACAATGCTTCTATCACAAGTGTGTGAAAAGAAAGAAACCATAGTCTGTGAGTGAGATAGATTACATTTGGGTGGGTGTTTCTACTACTAAAAGTGAGCTTAGGTTAATATATGATTGATTTAGTAGAGCCTATAATTTCGTGTTGAGAAGTATTGGAGATTCAGTAGCTAGATGATCATGCTATTGTAGAAAATGGTATCAAAATGTTTGAAAAGAGGAAAATCTTGCCTACTTTGATATATAATTGCTATTACCCTAGTTTTTGTTGCTTTGGCATAGTTATTTGTGGTAACAAAAATTGAATGAACTATATCAATTACTGAGATTTTTATCTCACTCGTGGTTATTACATTTTTTAGGTTTTGGTAGTGGTGATACAAAGGGGAAAAACATAGGCTGAGTAGACACTTCTCACTAAAGCCTTTTTGTAAGAATTGGTGTAATGAATTTGCATATTATTAGTTATGAACTTGTGTATAAGTTGCCATAAGAATTGAGTACATGGGCATAAGATTGTGAATATTGTATTTAGTAGGTTTGATTCCTTAGCCTTGTGTATATATGTGAATAATGAAATGATAGAGTGAGTTAATGGATAGATGTAAATAT